TGCCCCTCGATGCAGCGTGGCGATTTAATCACATAGGAAGACATTTATTCATAAAAAAACCCTGAATATCATAAAGTTGGTTGGTCTTCTTCTGGGGTTGAATCCCGTAGGGAAGGATCTCCCCGGCTTGCCGTACTTTCCGGAACAACTTGGTTGTTCGTGTTGGTTCCGGTGGTGTTTTTGTAGCGCGTGCCGGACTAAAAAAATATAAATTATTCATCTCTCTCTCTCTCTCTCTCTCTCTCTCTCTCTGTGTCTCTCCCTCTCGCTCTGTCTCTGCAACGTACCGTATCATAAATCTTCACACCAAATATCGTAGTTCTTCCACAACACAAGAATGCGAATAGGGGTTTCCTGAAAGGTACGCTACACACCTATCAACGAAGCAAACTCTTATCTGTTCCCTTGCTTTTTGCGCTAGACAGAGCATTAGAATTATGCTACAAATCCCATCACGAGCTTGAGACAAGCTTCATAAAATGGGGAAATTTAAGCGGAAATTTAAGCATAAGGGATTACTCGGACATTTTCCTATTAACGACGTGTAGAATCAGGCCTCGAGCGATTTCTCGGATGAAAAAAAACGTGTTTTACCAGTATTTACCAGTATCCGGTTTCGAGCCTAGTTGTTCGAAGAAATGCACGTGTTTTATTAGGCTTCTCTTAGAAAACCTCACTTACCTATAGCATTTGATAAAATACAGTAGTACTAGCGGCTCCAATATTGGATCGAGCATCAGCATTATGCAAATTATCTCTGTATCCCAGTTCTCGAAGCCGATAATAGCGCTGGCGAAGAAAAACGACATTGGCAAATAGACCGTGAGGAAAGGAATAAGGAGCTAAACGATCGTTTTAATAAACGCTATCAAAGTAGCGAAACCATTTAATCTAATTAGAGCCCTTACCTGAAAAATCAATGCCTTGAATAGCTCCTTCTGCAGTAGCTTCGTTTTCGAGCTTTTCCCTTTTTCCTCCAGGGTCTGGAAGTATTTAATAAAACTCGTGAAAGATTGTACTTTATTTAATGCCCATCCACAGTAGATAATTATCGACCAAGTGAACGTTAAAACCATCGAAAATACAGCCATTCCAATGTAAGACCGGATGATGATGTGGGTGGAGACGCCCTGAAAATCAGCTTTGACTAAAAAATTATTACCAAACCAAATACTCTATCAATCGCTTCTTTTATCCATTTTTTTGCTAAATACAGCATTGCCCCTTTTCGAATTTCCTCAAAATTTTGGGAATTGCTTTTCCGGAACCCGGATTTTTTTTGCAAATCCGGCTTCCAAATTCTGGACCTGTGGCCTTCCCGCGAAATGCGCTGGGAAAGTCCCAGATTCTACTTCCAAATTTATGCGGTTTATTTGCTACCCAGTTCCTGTTTTTAAGGTTTTCAAATAGTTTAAGTGATTTAAGAATTACGAGTTTAAGAAATGAATTAACAGATTTGAAATTTTAAAGGGAAAACGCAAATCTAAAGTGCGCCGTACCTCAAAAGCCTGCGCCAACGATCCGGTGCCGATCACCGATCTTCCGGTCAGCCTTTGGTATCGCGAATTTGTGTAATTAAAAATCTCTGGATCGGAATTGAGGGCAATGTGGCTGTTGAGCGTCCAGGTACCGCTGAAAATTGTTAATACAGAAAAATCCAATCAACTAGGCGTCGTAAAAAGTATAAAACGTACCAAACCAAGACATAGAGCACAACACCACCTAGCAAGGTGCGCCACAATTTTAATTTTGGCAGCCAGTAGGATCTAAAATTGTTATAAACACTGACATTCATTAAAAGCCGAGAGGAACTAGCAGAGATATTTAGGGAAAACCCACTTGCACACGATGACGTATCGATAGAAGAACTGAAAACTCAAGAAAACTAGCAATTGCGAGAATCCACTACAATACAACACCATCAGCACATAGATAAGCGTTTGATCGGTGAGGATCTCTCCCCAAGAGACGCAGAGATACGTCCTCCCGATGATGTACGGTGCCTGGAATTGGGTCATTTCCATATCTCTTAAATACATATCTCCTAATTCCATATCTCCTAAAGTCATATCTCCTAAAAGTCATATCTCCTAAAAGTCATATCTCCTAAAAGTCATTTCTCCTAAAAGTCTAAAAACCTTACTTCAGGAGTTCAGTAGATACAAGCAAAAAATTTTTGTAATTTTTTTTCGGAACATCTACAAAACCGCCGGCACGCTTCGGAAAACCCGAACTAAAAACCTCACTTCCCTTTTTATGTTGAGATCGGATATGATATGTTTTCGCTTTTCACAGGCGCGAAACTTTTGCTTAAAGGGCACGTTCAGGGACGTTTTTGGGCAAGAAAGCAAAGATTTTTGCCGCGACCGGGGGTCGAACCCGGGCCTCCCGATCGGGAGACACGGTCGCATACCAGTCAGCCACAGGTGCAAGCTGGCGAGGGGCTGAGGGGCGCCCCACCCCGGAAAGGAGGGGGAATGGCCTCCCACGGCACGGGCAGGCAACGCGCGCGGTCCCAACGTCCATAGGGTGTACACGTTGGGGCGAGTACACGGCCCCTCCCTGAACGTGCACTTTAATTTACAGCTAGCTTGCGTTTCATCCGATGTTTTTCACTATTATCCGACCATCTCAGAATGTTCAAATCGGGTTTCTTCGAAACTTGTGGGCGGTTTTGTAGATGTTCCGAAAAAAATTACAAAAATTTTTGCTTGTATCTACTGAATTCCTGAAGCAAGGTTTTTAGGAGAAATGCTTTTAGGAGATATGACTTTTAGGAGATATGACTTTTTAGGAGATATGACTTTAGGAGATATGGAATTAGGAGATATGACCGGAAATCCCTGGAATTTGGTGTATAGCGGAATGGAGGTTTCAACAGACGATTATGCATTTTACGAGGTTTTCAAGGTATAGATTTCAAATTTTTGTATAATCCGGTAGTGAAAACAAGGACCTAACTTCCGAGCCCCTTTAAACTTACCGGAGCCAGGATCACGTCCAGCGTGCCGAAGAACATGTTGAAAAACGTGTAGCCGGCCAGCAGCCAGGGGTATTTTCCCATCGTTTGTGGTGAATACCGTATAATAAAGCAGAGCACGAGGATATTTAGAAATGCGGCGATACACCATTCGATAAAGTGGATCGTGGTCAACATTCTAAAAAAAATCTGGGTTGATTTTCCGAAAAACCGAGGGCCCGAAACGTCCAAAGGCAGCGAGAATAAACTAGAAATCCCCCCCAGCCACGACTCGGCATATAAAATAAAAAACCGTAAGGGGTGCTAAATCGGTCCCTAGAGAGTTTAAGTTTCCGGTGCATCGTGCAAATGACAAACGGTGTCTATAGTTCGCCAAACGAACGTAACAAAAACTTAATCAAATCAAATTTACATTTTTTATGGCGAAGCGTCAAATGTCTGTTTTTTAAAACTCGGTACTTCAAGATTATGCTTGGCACAAAGCATTAATTAATGCCTAAACTCAAGAAAACTTTATAAACTTTAGAGGCGCCTGCGCGAAATAAAACGGGTTTCTTTAACGAAAAGTGTTTCGAAAATACGTGTTTTCGCACCCAAATGACTTCAGTTTTCCAGACTTTCCAGAAGCGAACAAAGTATCCCTAAACAGGGCAATGGCCGAAAAATTGGTTCCATTTCGCAGGAAACTACGAACCACACGCACCAAATAACAAGTTTTAAGGTTCAAATAACAAAATATGATCGATTTCTCGTACTCGTTGAGCATCAAGTAAAATAAAAACTTTGAAAAGAAACTTTTAGAGAATCATAGTAGTGTAGCGCAGCCTCCAAAGGCTACAAAATGCTCCGCCCGAACGCCGACATCCTATGCCTTCCCTGCGCTGTTTTTTTTACATGATTTCTCGCAAAATCCCCATAAATATTCTATTAAAATAGAAGCACTGGCAATGAAAAATGCAAAATTTTTACCAGGTGGTCTCTGTGGCCAGCTGTTTTCTATTCGTGGGGGAGGGCGTTGTTTTGCAAAAATAGGCAATAGGAATGGCCAAAAATTATTCTGGCGCAAAGATTTTGGTACGGTAGCTGCGGGCGGAAAACTCGTGCTTATTGGACTATCAGACGGGTTTGGAGAGTATAACGAGTTCATAAACGAGTAGCCTTGATTATGCTAGTTTCGCAGGAAACTACGAATTGCGACTATGGACAAGTTGTACGTGAGGAAATAGGTGTGATATTTCAGGAGTAAATCGAAGAATGATTGCGTTTGGCGTAGCAATTTTACAAAATCTCTGTAATTATATATTTATTGAGGTGCTTCTGCATTGTCAGGGGGGGGTCGTATCATTCCGGAAATGTCTAGTGACGTAATCGTAGCTATTCGACTAGTGGTTTCAGGAAAGTCTGTAATATTTCAAGTTGTTCTTGATTTTTAAAGATGTGTAAAAAGTTGAAATTTTTAAAGAAGTTTTTGGTTTTGTGTCCTAGTTTGGTAATGCAAAATATGTAAAGTTTATGCGTGAATAAGAATTTAACCAAATTCACTAATTACAGGATTAAAATTGTAGATTAAAGAAAAAATATTGAGTTTTTCTTGATATAGCCCGTTAACTTTCCTGGCCAAGAATCTATTTTTTGTTATTATCCACCCAGGTGGACAACTCCATTTTGCACCCGCAAACCAACACCCGCGCCCAAATTTAATCGCTAAAAACTGGGCTAAAAGCGTTGGCCCTGTTCAAAAAACAAAAAGTATATTTTTGGCCCAATGGGGCGGCCGGACTCTTGGAAAACCCAGCTTGTTCTTTGCAATTTCAAATTTTGCAAAAATCTGTCACTTTTTCCCGTTCTCACCTCTAAAATCTAATACTTTATGCGCCGGGTTAGTGCGAACTGTACGACAATGAGAGTTGCGCTCTGATAAAAAATTCAACAACGTAAAAACGTGAAAAATTAGGACAAAAACACGGGGAAAGGGAATCGATATAAGAGGAAATACACAGAAATCGTTTAATCAAGCTCATTCATGATAATCCGAGTCATCCGGGTCGTCGCGTGCGCCCTGATCCTCTTCCTCATCGTCTTCTTCATCTTCCTGATGTTCAGCTTGCGAATCTTGACCTTCTTCTGTCAAATCCGGGGCGGCCTCGTCGTCGTTTTCGGTGTCGGTTTTGCCCTGGAAATAATGTTTAAATGAAATTTTGTTTGGTATGCCGGTTTCGAAACTCATTTTATGGTTTTAAACGGATTGACTATACTGAATTTAAACGGATTTTACAAATTTTTAGCGAAAAAGACAAAATATGTCCTTTTGAAGCCAAAACGGTCGATTGTCTACCGCAATTTTAAGCAATTGCTACTTCGTTTTCCGCTTCAAATGTAGCTTGATTGTACTAAAAAATTAAGTAAATGTGGATTTTTTAAACCAAAACCAAGCTCTGAAATTTTTACACAACTTGTAAAGCTTCTTTAATAGTTTTCGACTCAAAGCGCAGCGAAACTCATTAAGAATAACATTAAAAAACTACTATTAAACGAATTGGTTTCCCCTTTTACCAACGCGACGAAATCACTTCAATTCTCACCTCTCGCATCATGTCCTCAACGGCAAACTCGTCCAACTCGGGCCCGCCCTCGTCATTCTCATCTTCATCATCATGGTGGTCGAACAGAGCGTTGACGGCTGCAGCCTGGCGCGGCAGCGCAGCGGGGTCGGCGGCTGTGTATCCGGCCAAATGGCGGGTTTCCGGGTTGTAGCCCTGCTGATGGCGAAGACCAAACCGGGCCAGGTAATCGTTCAGCGCCCAGCCGCCCACGCCGCCTGGATTCTGAAAATGGAGTTTGCAGTTTAGCGCTGAAAGAATAGTTTTAACAAAATTTCTTATTAGAAAAAATGTTAATTAATACGAATAATTAAATCTAAAAATAATGGTATTTCAATAAGATATTTCTATTAAAAGTTCAAAGTAATCGTCAAAGACAATTTTTTTAGTAAAAACTATGAGTTTCATTACCTTTTTATAATTCTCAACCTCTTGTGTAATGTTCTCCATCATCCGCATCTGCGCGTTCATGTAGCGGGCTTGTCTAAAAACATAAGAATTATATATTTAGTGATATTTTGCTAATTACACGACGTAACGCATAAAAATAGTCAATTATGAGTTAACGAACCTTCGCATTCCATTCAAAATCCGCCTGCAACATCCTTCATCTCCTTTCACTCGAATTTGGCCGAGATGCTCAAAGATTGCCTTAGCGTCCGTTGAATTTACCATGAAGTTCGGGTCGGAGGGAGCTTCTGTAAAAAATAAAGGTTTTTCAACTATAACTATATAACTATAAACAAAATAATCGAGATCAATACTCACTCCGCCGATAGAACGGAGCTGTAGAAGCCGACGAGTGCGCTTTTTCATCGTAGCCTCCGAATTCGTCGTATTCATCCTCATCAAAGAGTTCCTCCTTTATCGAACGGGGCTTTCTGAAAAAGTTATAGTACTAAAAATATCATAATTCGACTTTTCATAATAAAACAATACAAAGTAAGCTTACTTGGCTTCCGGTCCGGGCACAATTTTTCGTTTGCTGAGCAAAAGCGTCGGGACTGGATTTTCCTTCGTGGGATGGCCGTCGACAAAATGAACGGAGCAGATCTAAAAGTGAAAACTTTGATAGAACACCATTAACTTGAACAAAATAACCAAAATTCCCACCTTCTGCTGATACGGCAACATGCCGGCAATCCCGCGCACGTTTTTCACCCACTGTTTCCGGTTCGTTTCCTTGTCGTGCTTGTCGGGCAGGCCGAAGAACTCGACGAATTTGCCGTTTTCGGTTTTGCTCTAAAAACATAATAATTATAAGAGTAGATTCACTTACATCTTCTGTATTTCCACAACATGTGACGGCACATCGCGTTTTCATCACATCAGAGGGGCATGATTTGCGTTTGCTGCGGCGGATGTCGTCGGCAGAACTGAAAAATAGAGGATAATTCGATAGAAACGTTATAAATTTGTATAAATAAAGCTATTCTTTGCAACAATAGAACTTTTAAAAGTCTAAACTTAGTTCAAAAAAGTTCCGTTTACCTTTTTTCCGCCGAAAACGCATAAACGATCGAGCTACAACTATTTTAGTTGAAAATCTGATCTTATTAACATAGCGTAACGTAGAATTTTCCTTTTTATCGCTACAAAACATCTAAATTTGTATAAATCAACGTATTCTCTTAAAATAAGCCAAAGCTAAATGCAATTTTTGTAGGAATTGAGATACTTTAGTTAACTTATTAGATCGGATTTTCCTTATACCTTCGCGATTCCTAAACAAAACAAACCTCGATTCGGCTTTTGTCGACATTTCTGTAGCAAATTGACGCGTTGAAATGAACGAAACCCGGGCTTCAAACGAAGACAACCGAACTTTACTAGAGACGAGTGGCGCGCGGGATTTCCCTCGCGTAATCTGACTCCCCACGGCCATTGTATCAAAGTGTACACCTTGTCGAGGGCAGATGGCAATCAAATTGGCAAATTGAGCACTAATATCTGCATTGTTTGAATTTATTGCGATTCCTCATAATGTATCTGAGGTGTTATGTTAACCCACGGGTTTTCTCTTTATTTTTTTTACAATTTATTAAATAGAAAAACGGGAATCAGGCACGAAGAGCTCCTTTTCGTTGGAAGGTTAACTCAAATTCTTTCAAGTGTGACAACAAAGTACTTGCTTGGTTTAAAACAGGGTTTATTAAGAATGACACAGTAGAAAGAATACACCTCACGGTCCCATAAATGGGGCAAGAGGATACTTTTTATACAATGCTACGAATTGCGGCGGAATTTCGGTTGTTATTTTTGTAGCTTCGGCAGCTTCCGGCCCGTCCAAAACGCGAGATTTATTGGCCTAAAACGCAAACTCATTTCAGTTTGACTTGCACCGAGTTTTTTTTACGTTATCGCGAAGACACATAACTTCAGAAACCAGTGTTTTAAGTAAATTACCTCATTCGGCACCGCAAATACAAATAAGACGATAAATAAGAGTAAAATTCGCATTATTTTGTCAGAAATTGGATAGAATATAACAGAATCGAAAGTCGGGGAGAGTTCCCAGGGCTTACAATGGGCGATAAATCAAGTTTTATGAGGATAGCTGGGGAGATTGATCGTCTCGGTCTAGAAAGAGACATAAAAAATTTAAATAGTTATTTTTTTTACAGTAGGAAATAATAAATAGTAAGGTTAGTAGAAGAATCAATTAGCCCTCGTTTTAAGCTTTCGATGAGGCCACTTTGGAGCCTTTGTCGCGGGCCTAAAATTATAAAAAATACTGGCTTCATCTTGGTCCCTACGAGGCTATATTTGGAAGCGTCATCTGCCGCAGTAGTTCTAGTTATACTAGGCACAGCATGGCCAATGGTGGATTTCATTTGGCGTCGGACCTAGATTCTGATTTTGTAGGCATTTTTAACTATTAAATCGTAATTTCCTATAGCATGCCTCTTCGTTATTAATAATCAAAACTATCGAGTTAATGCCGCAATCAATGTTGTATACAATAGTCGTAAAAGCGTAGGGTTCCATCGAGGTGAAGCCTAGCCTGGGCATGATGTGAAACGAGGCCCAGGTGAAGGAGTAGAAAGAGAAGACTAGACAGCACTGCACGCAGCACCTAAAATTTGATAAATGTGTAAAGAACTATAAACCACGGAATATCAGCAAAAACGAAAAAATCTTTCTTACATGATCTCTCTTCTATTGCTGGATCCTTTTAGGCCGGCTTGCTTTTTCATCCGGTAAATGCAGACAAAGACCTAAAAAATTGCCTTTGCTCGCTCTCACTCGCGCGCGCGCTGTCTCCCTAGCCCCTTCTCTCTCTCTCGCTCTCTCTCTCTCTCTCTCTCTCTCTCTATCTCTCTCGCTCGCTTCTCTCTCTGCCTCTCTCTCTCTCTCTCTCTCTCTCTCTCTCGCTCTCTCCCTTCCTTTCTCTTACCCAAAAATACGAAGCCACACAAACGATAGATACACCGCTTTCCAATGGCAAATCCACGAAGAGTTGTGCGACGTTAAACGTCATCTCACTTCCGTAATTTGGCATATACATGTAGCCGTAGGTGATTGGCTCAAAATAGATACTAAAAGAGGGTATTATCTAGAGTTGTTATTCGACCCGGGTCGAAGTGGTCGAAACTTTTGTAGGCACCCGCAGCAAAAACGTTATAAAATTCATAACTTTTTTCTAAGGTAGAATTCCGCTATATCGTTTTCATTTTTGATTCTGTGAGATCATTTCCTACATTTTGAGTCCTTAAGCTATAAATTTTCATGCTAGAATCATAAAGAACGGCCTGCTTGCCTTGTTCCGCGCGCGTGGTGTGACGTTCTTTGTGATTCTAGCATGAAAACTTATAGTTTAAGGACTCAAAATGTAGGAAAGGATCTCACAGAATCAAAAATGAAGACGAAATCGCGGAATTCTTCTTTAGAAAAAAGTTATGAATTTTACAATGTTTTCGCTGTGGGAGCCTACAAAAGTTTCGACCATTTCGACCCGGGTCGAATAACAACTCTAGTATTAACAGGTTGATCGGCGTACCGACAACAGCTCGAGAAGTGTTGCGTGTACAGTGATGTGCACGCACCAAGCAAAGATACGGCAATGAGCATTATGACAATGTTTTTCGGTGTGAAGACGGCGTTCAAGTTTTTCCAGCACATAGCGGAGACTCTAGAATATTTTTAAAGTAAGTAATGCTGATGCAGTAAGAAGTAGCGTTGCGTAGTTTTCACCATTATTCCAGAAAAACCAGTCATTCCGTACCGGTTAATTGCCATTAAAATATGAACATAGGTGGCGTCGTACCACAGATGTAGGAACCATACCGAGATGAAGGCCATTAAAGGAGTATCTTTATTAATTAGAGGCTCCTAGAGTCCGAATTTGCGTATATTAACGTGATGCCTAGTACCTGGGTAATGATTAACGGCAACTGGAAGACAATATGTGTCAAATTTTGTATAGTTCCGCAGCAAATATTATAGAAGAGGATCACGTAGAGTGGGCTTTTTGCGGATCTAAAATACAGTAGGAAAAGGATACGGTTGCGCAGGCTAATTTTAGAATTCGCAAGGGTAAAAACCAACCTGTGCAACTTCCCCCGAATAAAGAAGTACATTACAAGAATATTGATGGCCAGCATCGAGAGTTGTACGGTACCCACCAGGCCGGCGAGTAGAACATGGGCGATACCTTTTGCCATTTCGGGGTCAAATCTATCTAAATAGTTTCTGATAATATCCTACTATATATAAAAAAATAGTGTTTGTGTGTGTGTGTGTGTGTGTGTGTGTGTGTGTGCCACTTTGCATCCACTTCCGTCTGTCTGTCCGGAGGATATCTCGATGGTATAGGCTGAAAATGCCGATTCACAGAATGCCGATTTACAGAATGCCGATTTACAGAATGCCGATTTTACAAAATGCCGATTTACAGAATGCCGATTTTACAAAATGCCGATTTACAGAATGCCGATTTACAGAATGCCGATTTACAAAATGCCGATTTACAGAATGCCGATTTACAAAATGCCGATTTACAGAATGCCGATTTTGCATAATTTGGGTTCTACATCCAAAAATGCAAACCGGATAGCCAGAAAAAAAACATTCTCCGACCTGACCTGAGGCCTAGCTTTACTATGTTCTTTTTTTCAGAGAAACCCTAGTTCCACGTTACCAAGGGGGCCGCCCATTGGTTACTAAATTAAATTCTTCTATCAAACAGTTTTCCCTTCCTCTCGACGCATTATCGACCAAGAAATAATAATGAATCGTCGAGTTTTGTCGCTGCGGCTGAGCACGTTGAATGGGTCGGCGACCAGCGAAAAAGGCATGCGTTGACACTTGCCGCGAGGCGTGCGTTTTCCGCGTAATCCTTGATCCCTACGCGGAAAAAAATTTCGTAAAATTTCGCCATGGCCAAGCCGGATAATGTTTTTATGGGGATCCGGTTTGTATTTTTGGATGTAGAACCCAAATTATGCAAAATCGGCATTCTGTAAATCGGCATTCTGTAAATCGGCATTTTGTAAATCGGCATTCTGTAAATCGGCATTTTGTAAAATCGGCATTCTGTAAATCGGCATTTTGTAAAATCGGCATTCTGTAAATCGGCATTCTGTAAATCGGCATTCTGTGAATCGGCATTATGTAGGTAAATCTATCTCGATAGGGGCTTAGTTTTAAGGTATGTATGATACGTCATTAGGTGCGTAATGGTCTGGAGATGACTGCACGCATACCAGAATTAACAAAATTACCTATTTTCGACATTAAATTTAAGTTTTTGTGAAAACCTCTTTGTTAGAAAAACTTAGCATAGACCGGAACCGGGCTTTCGACTATATAAAGGGGTAGAAGATGTTATTTTTCATTTTTGTCATCTCAGTTCAGGACAATTATGCAAAGTGAAGGATAAAATGGGGTCAGACGGGGCCAGGGTTGAAAAGTCGCGAAGCGGCTTTTCAACCCTGGTAATATTAAAATTACAATTACAAAAAACGACGGTTTTACGTTGAAGATAATGAAAAAGATTTTATTTTCAATCTAAAAATATCGCTGATTTGAGAAACTGAATTAAAGCTTGTTAGTTCAGATCTTCTTGGAAAATTTCTATTTTTTGTGTTTTGTTACTGCGGGGTTGATTTTAAAATTTCAATTTAGTAAGGCGTTTTAGAAATTTTATTAAGCCAAATCTAAAAACTGAGTAGTCAAAAAACTACTGTCACGAATTTTTTCAGTATTCGTTATTTTCGGTGTGTATCCAAGAAATGATCAGGTTCCTGGGAAATTCCTTCTCCCGATACGGTGACTAGGCGGTGGCCCAAAAACCAGACAAGCATTTTCCTGAAGCTGGGATTTGTGTTTTTTTGAGGATAATCGGTAGCCATTGTACCTCAGAGTGCTTATATATCTCTTATCTGCTGCGAAAATTATCCACCGGATTACCGCGGCGCACTCTTTGAAAGCAATACGTTAATATCGGTACCGTCAATTTTACGTGGAATTCTTAAAAATGATTTTTAGATAATAGGAGTGGCTTTTTGAGATAACTAGATCGCTAGATGCTCATTTTTTGCACGTTCAAAGGTTATTGGCATACGGTAGGTGGGTGTGGTCTAGACAGAAAAGATACCGGGTATAGTTTCTCAAGGAAATTGATGGATTAGGACGCACTAAAGAGAGTGTCAGCATGGAGCATAGCGTAGTCTCATCGCAATCCCAACGCTCCCAACCTGTCCAAATTTGGTCCGGACGTTAAGTTAGCACCTGATTAGAAACTTTTTTTCTGGCGCTTTATAGGGTATTTGAGTGTTCTTTTAGTGTATTTTCAGGGCATTTCAGTGATTTTTGATTATTAAAAAACCACAGAACACATTGAAGTCTGCAATTCTTTTCCTTGTGAAACAACGCTTTTTGCCTTTCCTTCCGTTTTCCTTTTTTTTGTTTGTCCTAAACAATGGATACATTTCTTGTGAAGTACTTCATAATCACTAGGGAAAGCTTGGATTTTTTCTGCATGTTAATTTTACACCCCTGTAAGTTCCGGGATTTATTCAAGACAAAACTTGAGCTTCAGGCCGATGTAGGCGACGGTTTCTCGGGCTGAAAACACATTTAATAACCTCATTTTCGTCTTTTACCGTATATTTTGACGCGGCTTCCGGGTGGGAGGCAGAGAATTCAGGACGGCTCCCAATGGCGTTCCTCATTTGGCGACGTACCTGAAAAAACCCAAGATTCCAAAAACCCAAAAATCATTGGCTACGTGAGAATACTTATGAGAATTCGTTACCTACAAGAAAATCTAAAGCAAAAACAAGCGCTGACTCAGAAAGAGCGAAAAATAGACAAAATTCGTCTCAAATCTACGATATTTAGCTTTTGAAAGCGTCATTTTTACCAAAAAAGAGGTCAAAAGCCGGCGTTCACCTCTTCATTATTGATAATCAAAACTATCGAGTTAATGCCGCAATCAATGTTGTAGACAATGGTAGTAAAAGCGTAGGGTTCCATTGAGGTAAAGCCTAGTCTCGGAAATACGTGAAATGAGGCCCAGGTAAAAGAGTAGAACGAGAAGACGAGACAGCACTGGACACAGCACCTAAAAGGACAGCCAATCCAGGCATTTTGACTAAAAATTACATAATCTCTCTCCGATGCCCTCGGCCCTTCAGTCCGGCCCGTTTCTGCATACGGTAGATATAGGCGAATACCTTAAATTTGTAAAAAAATCCTATCCTATAAGCGAGAAAAGTATGTCTGTTTTCTGTGCAGCCGATTTCTCGGCCGTCAGGCCGAATTTCGCGCTGATTTTTGGCATGGAGGTGGAGAAACACATTTGCCAGAGATTTTTCGTTTTTCGAAATTCCTTGATTTAACGATTTTACAAACAAAATGGTGAAAATCCTTAACAAAATGGGCTACGGGCCATGGTGTCCAGGCCATAAATCGAAGCCCTGATGGAATCTCGGTCTGTTATTTGGACCACTTATGTATTCGATAGTGGGGATCACGCGCATCTTTTTTAGTTCTACAAATTATCGGCGCATTCAGACTAAAAATAGCGATTTTGTAAAGTTACCAGGAAGCTTCTCTCCCGGATTAACCCGCCCCCAGCACAGAAGAGGCCTTTCCCACCACCCTTCCCCATGCCGTCTTTGGTATAATGGCTAGACGCCCGGTCCACCACGCGCATAGGCGTGGGTTCGGATCGTCGGCAGATTTACCTTTTTTGCTTTTTGATAGTTCAACAACACAACATATTTCGAGGCTCTCGGTATCCGAAATTTAGGCCAGTCCCTCGCTCTAGCGCCGCAGGCCAAATCCTGGAGAACAGCCAGTAGCTAGCGCCGCAGGCCAGAGAATGGTTCATAGAGTCAGGCTCTTGCGCCGCAGGCTCGGAAAACGGAAGGGGAATATATGGTTCCTAGATGGGGGCCAGTGGAAAAGGGCCGCGAAGCGGACATTCTCCACTGGTTTGTAAAAAAACCGACGATTTGTGGTCGTTTTCAAATAGGAAGAGTGTCTAACGATCGATTGACAGAAAATTATGGAGCGTAATTACTTACCCAAAAGTACGAAGCAACGCAAATTAGCGACACCGCACTTTCAAGTGGCAAATCGACGAGGAGTTGGGAGACATTGAACGTCATATTCGGACCGTAATTTGGCATATAGTTGTAGCCGTAGGTGATTGGCTCGAAGTAGATGCTGAAGCGTACCTCTTAGACAAAATTTTAACAATATAATTAGTATTATTAAAATTGAAGAACTGTTGAGAGAAAAGTTCGCAAATAATTTTTTGGGGTGAAAACAGTTATTTAGACCAAATTCTAGGCACGAAGCTTACCGACAACAGCTCGAGTAGTGTTGCGTGTACATCGACGTACACATCCCTCCAATTGACGCCAAAATCAGCATTTTTATGATATTTTTAACCGTGAAACACTCGCTGATTCGGGGCCAGCACAGAGCGGAGACCCTAAAATTTGAGTAACCTATGCTTTTTCGTTTCATTTGAGAAGCAATATTTTTTTAATTACACTTCGTACAGTTTAGGTTTTAAAATGCGGTTTTGAGTACAAAAAAATACCTATTTCTTCCTACAAAAATTTACACCTTGAAGGCGGAAATGCAGACCAGACCCCCAGGGATATTGAGATCAGATGCAAAAATTTTCAAGAAAAAGACAAGACATCTGGATCAAAATGTGGCATAAAACGTACCTGTTAATGGCCATTATAATATGGACATAGGTGGCATTGTACCAGAGGTGTAGAAACCATACGGCCAGCACGGCCATTAATGGGGAATCCCTCGGAATCATTGGTTCCTGGACCGGAAAATACGGAAATTTGGGGCCCAAAAATACCTTTGTGATAATCATCGGAAGTTGGAAAATGATGTGCGTCAAATTTTGGATAGTACCGCAGCAGATATTGTAGAATAGAATGACATATAGAGGGCTTTTTGCGGATCTGAAAAATTGGGTTTACTGTAATTATTAAATAAAGTATATTATACAAAAGAGCGTCATTTGTTCTATCAAGTTTTTTTCACTTTTTTACATATTTCGGGCCTTCAGCAGCTTTGGAAAACGCAATAAAACGTGCAATTTTAGTTAGTTTTTATGATCATTTTTTTCAAAAATAGGTATAACGTAATTTAGTTTGTCGTGCGGTAAATTTACACAATCATACCGATGCAAATTCCCGCGTATGAAAAAGTACAAAACCATCAGGTTGATCATTAACATGGTGACCTGGATGCCACCAATCAGCCCGGAGAGTAGGTAATGCGGGATTCCGGTTGTCATTCTAAAAATTGACTTATTTCCATTACCTTATGGTTAGATCCTTCAATGACAATTATTAAGAGTTTAAGGTACTGTAAGGTATCTTCAGAAAATGATCGAAAGAGAAAACATTCGATGTTCCGCGTTTGTTTTATAAAAGTGCAACTCTTTATGCAAATTTCACGTAAATTGGGCCATCTCAAACGCAGCGACGCGTTTCGGGCAAAAGATGAGCCAAGACTCTTTGAATGCACGAAAAAGGTAAAAAGGACTTTTGGGACATCGCCATGCGCAATTAACGAAATTGAAATGCGCGCGTGCAGTCTGGGGCACTGAGGAAACTCTTAATTTCCGGCATTTCCGGTACTTCAATCTAACGAGGGTCGCTGAACAGCGAGACTCTAAACGTATAGATGGAAGAAAACTTAATTTTGGAAAAATACCACGATCGGAATATTGGAAAAAAACAATTACGCGTCTGGACGATTTCTGGATAGAGAAATTGAGATCAAGAATGTTCGTCCAATGGTCCAGAATGAATTTTTTGCTGAGATAGAATTCGTGCTAATCGAATCAAGTTCTGAAAATGATGCTCAATTGATATATTTGGGTGTGTTGGTTCTCTAGGGAATTTGAAATTCCTAACGAGAGATGGTGAGAGCGAGAGAGCGGGGGTGCGAGGGAGAAAGAGAGAGAGAGAGAGAGAGAGAGAGAGAGAGAGCGAGAGCGAGAGATAGAGAGATAGAGTGAGTGAGGGAGCGAGGGAGAGAGCGACAAGGAAAAGATAGCAAGTGCTACGGTAAGAATGCAGTCTACCCCTCCCCAGCAGGCCCGAACTTTTTATTGTATCTCGTCTCCCCCATTGGCCTACAGGTGTGTATGGTATACCAAAATGTTATTCTCGGCCTGGCGAATATTTTCGTCTACTTTACTTTCCTGCAGCGCTCCGGGGAGCAAAGATAGGCTGTGGTGGGGGGGGGGGGAATTGCCTCTACTGTTTCCGCCGCCCTTTTCTGGCGCTTTTCTCATAATTCGCGAAAATTACGATTGCTAGCGTAATGTAATTTTAACATAGCAAATCCAATCTAGCCTCCTCAGTTTTTTGGAAGGGCTGCGGTAATCCGGCAACAAGAAAATCGCTTCGGAATCCTCCCAGGTACGCCTAGGGCGACTTTTATAATTCCACGACCCCGCAGGAATCTAATAATCGTCTGTTAGAACAATAGCACGATTTTGCCCGACTTGGCACGTGCCTTACCACTATGGCCGTTTTCCTAGACTCAAGACAATTGGGTCCAAATAATTCCGGTTCCGCTACACCACCTAAGCTGATTCCAGAAGTATGAAAGATTAGATTATACACCCAGATCTATGGATGAGAAATCGGCTACAAAGTATGTGTAGTTTGTGTAACTAGTAGGGAGTTGAACTAGTTGTGTCCGGTTCGAAATGATCATCCTGGGAAAGGGCAAGTGGAAAATTTGGAATTTTCCCGGCTTAGTTTTAAAGCCAATTTTCAAACTTTAAAGAGTTAAACAAGTGTTAAAATAGAGAAGTTAAAATCTAAATTTTAAGACCGACTGAAGCTCTAGAAATTTCCCCTAGATTAAAATCAAGCTGTATTAAGTGGATCGAAACCAATGCTTTTCCGAAGCAGGAAAATTCATAAACGACAAATTCATTCATTGCGAACTTCATCAAATTTAATTAGAACTTATTGTGAGTAAATATTTAATTGACGTTTTAACGAAAGGCAGAAAAATTTTCAACAAGAAGTTCGGCGAATGTTTTTTAGGCAAATGGTAAAGCTTTTTTGTGAATTAATGAATTACGTTGCAGAAAAAAACCCTGTTTATCGACCCGTGGCAAGCACACAAATCACAAAAATTACGAGTACCATCATCAACTATAGCTATATCTATGATTTTAGTATATTAAGGATTTGGCGTAGTGCGTAGCGAGGCTAGAAACCGGTCTCCCTCCTGCCAGAAGTCGTTGATGTATTCCATCGTCTGGTTGAAGATGAAGATTTCTTCCTCACCAGCAGAAGGAGGGACGTAATCTGAAACTTTGGATTTTGATCGGTTTTTTGAAATAATGCCAAAAAACATTATATTTTAACTAGCATTTGAGAAGCGACCAACCGTTCAGCTTGTCCCACATCAATATCCTATACGCCCTGAGGAGCTCGAGCTCGGCCAGCGAGAATGGGGAGTAGCGCTGTTGTACTATCTAAAAAACTCCTTAATCTTTGAGAAAGAGCGAGAGAGCTAGAGAGCGAGAGAGAGAAGAGAAAAAAGAGAGAGAGCGAGAGAAAGAGAGATAGAGAGAGTGAGAGAGAGAGAGAGTGAGAGAGAGTGAGAGAGACATAGTGCCAGAGATGCCTACCTTTAATGCCGCCTTCATCTTGGCCAGCGCATTTTCCTCATAATCGAGCTATAAAAGTCATATAGTGGTTGGTAATAAAATATTACGCATCTAGGTATAAAAACTAGGTATTATCTCCTTACCAATTGCATATAGCGAATCGTGAACCAGGTAAAAGCCCTCATCGCATCGCTTCCGTAGACAGATGCGTAGTCTTCGGTATAGTTGCGTTTCAACTGAAACTACGACTTAGCGAGCGATTGAGCGAGAGTGAGGGAGTTAGAGCGAGAGTGAGGGAGCTAGAGAGAGAGAGAGAAAGAGAGAGAGAGAGATCGAATCAAAACGCACCTCTGCAAGAGTTTCGAGATCAAGAGGACCATTTTCCGCCAGTGCATCATAGACCTGGCCCATCGTGTAGGCGTTTGAGATACACATGGCTTCGACGAAGAGGATGATGTCGTAGCCCTCGTCGGAGTTCTATAAATGGGATGAAATTAGCGCAACTGATAGAATGAAAACAAAAAAAACATTTTTTTATATTGTATGCTATCGCAAAAGACCATTTTGAGGCTTTCAAACACTTTTAAATACTTCAAATACCTACGTTTGCTCGATTCTTCGCCCATCTTTTCGCGGCCATGATTTTATTTGAGCAATAATTGTAGTTGTTTACATTTTCGACGAGCTGAAAATTGTTAAGATTGGATACCTAATCGATAAGATGTCATTAATGGTAACGCCGAGGAAAGCTAAAAAGTCAAATAAAGTTTTAAAGGGATTAGCAAGGTCAGAATCGACCCTCTAGATTTGCTAGGTCTAGACAGCCACCCAAGGCGCCGAAACCCGCTGTAAACAGACTAAAAAAAACTCTAGAATGGCATAGTTGTATACTGAAGGGATCAAAAATGACTTAGAGGATTTTCACAATCGGCTAGACCTAGCGAACGAAAGGGATAGATTTTAAGGCTTTTTAGTCTCTTTAAAATCGAGTCCAGCACCGATAACTACTCACAATCTCAATATTCTCCTCCGTTTCCCCGCCCAGACGCTGGAATAAATCTTTCATCCGCTCCAGCGACAATTCCGGGTGATGGCCGACAGAAAATTTGCATAAAAATACAGAAAATACAGCCAAATATCCTAGCCAATTGTTAGGTGCCGAAGCGGGCATTCATCTGGTGGAACCGGGGTGAATTTAGCTGACTGCGATTTTAGCAGAATTATTGTACCCCAGGTTGTATTGTGTGTCCTATTCGGCAAAATTAAATTTGCCGCCAGGCGGCCGCCCCAAAAAATGTACATCTACCCGCCAGACCATTAACGGGGGATTAGCCGAGGCGGCGAAGGTTCAAAAGATCGCCCAAATCCGAAAATAATGCGCTCACCTCCCGATTTCGGTGCGGCAGCCCACACGAAAAAGTTTTTAAGTTCAGACGCGCATGACCAAAGGGTGATTGTTTTTGAGCAGAAAACAGAGCTGGGTGGGTTGGCTAGCAGGGATTCTTTGGCAAACGGAATTAGAATTTCTGACTTCGTCGCAGAAAACGGAGACGGGCTAGCAAAGAGCGGAAGCCTGGAAGCAGAGATGGAGTGGCTATTCCAGCATCGATTTTTCGGGAAACTCTGGCCAAAAGGCAAGGGTCATGGGCGGTCTTAACAAAAACTGAAAAAGCCAGCAGATATTCATTCGGAAAGCATCTCCAAAATGTTTGTGGTTTTGCAGAAAACCCAGACAGGATAGAAATTCTTTTGGCGGAAATCAGTTTTACGAAACATTTTATTGCGCAGTAAATATGGGTTGGCAAGCTAGATATTATTCTTGCTCAAATTTTATGCGCTTGAGAAAGAGAGGCGGAAAGAAACAAAATCTGTCACGGTCGAGAGTTTGAGCAGCAACCCAACGAAGGGCAGGCTAGCATCGAGTTTTTGGGAACTTGGGAAGCATGGAGTTTTTGGCTCACTGCGTCTAAATGCCGAAAAGCGGTGATGTTACCACAGAATCATGGCGAGGCAGACTAACATACAATTCGTTGGAGTGGGCCTGAATAAATTATTTTGGGCGGAAAAGGCAAGTAAGCAAGTGTTGTTACAAAACCTAGCAAAGCCTGTATCCTATCGAACGACCTACGCAAGCCCAAATCAGTGGGTTCCCAAATTTAAAAAAAAACGTGAATTTTATGGGTAAGCTAAAAGAGGCGGAAGTAGGAAGAAAAATAAGGGCTGGAAAGTGGAGATTGACCAGAAGATAAACGTTTTGGAAGGTTCGTAAGAAGTTGTAGTTTGGAAGAAGACGAAGTTTGGAAACAAGAGACGCAAAATTGACAAAGGAAGCTGACAGAAACAATTTACGGAACCGTGGCCGGAATCGAAAAAAAAATCGCAAAAAGTCATACAGACCAAAAGCTCTGCAGGACCTAGTTCCGAAGCGAAATGAACTATGGCGCCAGAATAAATTTATGTAAAGAGATGCAAAATAGCTAAGATTTTTTGCTGATTCATACATTCGAAACAATGCCTTACAGTCGCTTAAGAAACCAAAACTCTGTAAGACCTTACGAGAATATTTTCGTAACTCTTCAAGGCGTGGCCCGCTTCATAGACCAGTCGTCACCCCGAAAACAGCTGGGGCAAGAGAGAGCAAAAGATTTTTCACACCTCTTCGCGACGGCTTCAGCTGATAAGGCGTCTCTGGGCCCCATTTGGCAATGATTACGAGTGAATATGCCAGAATTTCTGGGGTAAGGTTTGTGGTATAAAAGCGGGTGTAGCGGTTAGAGATAGTGAACGCCAGCTTCGAGTCCTCCCAATTTCCGTAAATTTTTATTTTCTATTTTTTGAACCTTTCAATTATTTCAAACAAACGAACAAAAAACCTGATTCTAGAAAAAATGACCCACCCTGCTGAGTTTCGTATTGAAGACGTCTACGCCGTCGACGAAGCCTTCGCGCTGGTTGAACGTCTTGGTGCTGAGGGAATCAAAAATCTGCGCTCCTTCTACATGACTGTCAACGGCTCGGCTCCAGCGTAGGTTGATTCTGATTTTGTTTCTAAACAATTTTCTGTTTTTTTTTGCGGTCTTGGTTAGAAAATGCAAAAAATTCAAATTAAAATAAATTTCTGCCCAATATCGGAGAAATGAAGAGTTAAAATAGTTGCAAGCTCATTTTCGGAAATTAATTTTCCCAAGAATCAATTTTTCAAAAATTGATTTTTCGAATGTCATATTTTCGAAAATAAATTTTCGGAAAATCAGAATTTAAAATATGCGTCTAGCTCTAAATCAAATGGCAGTCAAGGGTATGAAATAGCAAATTTTCAAAATTCTGATTTTCGAAAGCCAATTTTCGACGATAAGACCTAAAGAATATAACTTTTCAAAAACGATTATCGAAAAAGTAATGACTTTCAAAAAATGATCGACTGCCACTCTTAGATAATTTTTTACGTTATGCATCCTAAAACTAAAACGGTAAATGTGTCTGTATTTCAGGCATATCCTGATCCTCAGCGCTGGACCAATCGCCGCCGCCAATCATCCTACCTTCAAGCCGATCATAGGCCACGATTTCACCACAACCAGGTGATTTTGATTTTCTCTTTATTATTACTTTTAATAATCACTATTTAATGAACAAGAATAAAAAAATAAATTTAGATTCGTGACCGACAAGCAGCGCCTGGAGCAAGCCACCCACGATCACTACAAGATGAACAAGGGCCAGTACCGGTTTCCCGAAAAACTGGACACCCAATTGCGAATCGCGGGAGCTATTGGTAAGTTTTTCTCGGTGTAGAGCTTAGTTATCCTCTCATAATTTACAGTACAGCACAATACAAACTACGTTGTTACAGGTGCCCCAGCGCAGACCAGCTTGAACCTGTTGATGCCCACGCAAGGAAACGCCCTCTTCACCCGGCCGGCTGAAGCGTGCTATCGACTCCTTCAAGGTTAGCATTAAATGATAGAGATCAGAATAGCACAAAATTGAGGCGTATAACCATTCATTTGCAGCCTTGAAAAACGGTACTTGGCCTCGTCTTGGATGTGTTACGATCTCGTATAGTCGATTTGAGAAGGATGCGCGGTGCAAGGTAGGCGAGACTGCACAATTTTTTGGCAACAAAAGGATAAGAAGAGAAGCAAAATTTAGAATTTTCAGAATTCCGTATTTTCAAAATTTGAATTTTCCGAATTTCGAAATTTCCATAGTTTGTAACAAAATTAATAGCTACACAAATTGCACGAAGATGCCCTGCACTCAGCTTAAGCGAATTTCTTTGAAGCCGGAGATTCGAGATTTCGATTTTCGAGATCATGCAAAATAAGATTCTGATTTTTTTGATTCTGAAGGCAATTGTCGAGACCTAGTCGTTGTCAGGGGGTCTTTTCTAACATGGTAGCCGTTCTAATGATGGGTTTTTCCAGATCACAATCGGTTCGAACATCGACGAGAAGTTTCTTTGCGAAATCGCTGACCTTCTTGAGAGTCTCAACACTCGCGGACTCCACGTTTCCGTGAAAACCGACGTCTCGATGTAAGTATTGAGGTTTTCGCTAAGTAATGTGTACTTAGATTTAGCCCATAAGACGAGAATTAAAGTTACGAAAGCTAATAAATACAAAACGCAATTTCAGGGCCCTGAACAAGCGCGGAGTGCTGAAATCCCCACACTACCAAGTCTTCCGCGGCCCTATCGCGTAGTGGAAATCGGCTTCTACCTCCCTCGCTGCTCAACCGATGAGACAAGAACGTCAGGGATGATTATTTTTCTTGCATAATATTGTATTAAGGTGCCCCATCCTTTACCGTCCATTATTTTTTTTCTGCCTTTGCAATCAACTATTGTTTCTAATCTAAATTTTGCGTGTGGTCGAGCTTTCCTTGTTTTCATTTTTGTGTCTCCCTATGATTGTTTTGTCAGTTTTGCTATTTTTCCCCACCGGGTATTTACTCTAACTTTAAATTTTTCACTAACGTCCTTTTTTACTTTTCATTTTTACGGGGCTTTAAGATTTGTCCTACCTTGCGCCAGCAATTCTTTTATTTTCGTTTTTGTGTAGCGATTTGAATTTTTACCATTATGCTTATCGCAAATAAACGGGTATTCGAAAATATCGCGATTTATCTAGCATAATCATTTGGGAAGCCAACAAACACTGTCGGTTTGTGACCTAACGGGCCAATTACCGGGGTGCTCACACTGTTTTTCGGAGCCTAATTCCGTACTTTCCCATACCAGGATTGCAAAATAGTAATCACCGCAGGGCGTGGCCTAATAGTTACACGTGGCAATTCTGTAGCCGAGACCCAATGAATTATACAAGCATGGATCTACTAGTTACCGGAATTGGCCTGTTATGCGGCGTGTCGCGCTTACGACCGTTGGTTCGGTAAGTCGTGGATTTCTCATGGGGAACTCGGATAGAATATCAAATTATCGGACATACGAATTTCAGGGATCGCTATTTTCAAAATTTGAAAATTTTTATGGGAAGAGTCGTAAATATTGGGAGAATTTAACGGCTACGGTCTGCATATAGTTGAGGAAATTTTGTGATTCCAAAAATTCTAATTTCTGACGGGCTAGATGAGGGACTTGTGTTGAATGTTTGATACCTAAAACCCACTTGGAAAACATTGCTGTTTTAGAAGTCGTTCGAGGAGGACGTCGTATTTTCAAAGGAAACGCTTGATGAGTTTTTGACGAATCTGAAGAACGCCGCTTGTGGACTTTCGCACCTGCCGCCAAATGTTCTCCGTTTGACGCGTGACGCGGGCGATGAAAGAGCGGGCAGGTTAGCAGGGAAACCGTAAAATACGCTTAATTCTCGTTTTTCTAACAATAATTATCGCGTTTAAAGACACGTGTTCATGCAGCAGATGCGCGGCTTGGTACCATGGGATCAAGCGTTCCAAACCGTGCAACCATCCGCCTCCGTTCTTCGGTATATTATTTCCCCCGATTCGAGAAAACGAATTTTAGGTTCTTTGAGCGTCAACGGACAGCAAAACAGGAAACTGGCAAATTTTTGGCTTTGCCTGAGCAACTATATTATGAGAAAAACGCAAAATTCCAGCAAAAAATTAGGTTTTAGGACATTCCGGATGCACGCTGGTGATCGAATTGCCTCCGAAGTCGAAAATTGTGAAAGCACGATACTTGGGACAGCTGTTTCTGGCAATTTCGAGAGGTGTGTTGGGTTTTAGAAGTCTCAAGATGCAACAGCCGAAAAAAAATCCATAACCAGCCTTGTTTCTCCAAATCTTTTACATATCTGCAGGACTGAACTCGAACCGCTTCCACTCTTGCGGTGTTGTTTCGATCGTTTACCGGCGCTGCACGCAGGATAAAGATACCAGAATCAAGGTAGGAATCTTTTCATAAATTCTATCGTATTAAAACAATAGAACAATAAATAAAAAAAATAGATAGCCATAAAGCCAATCAAAACATTTCCAGTTCACCGCCGAAAACGGCAATTATTGGATCTGGCTAGAGAAGTTGCACGAAATCTACCAAGGAGCGTGGAGCGGCCCGCCACCTTGTGGCTTCAATGTCAGGCTCGAGGCTGATGTGGGGGCGTAAGTTCTTGAAAGAACTTGAAAATAAAATCTGCTGATTATAAATCGAAAACAACTTGGCTTAGGATCCTGAATGGGCACTTCCACACAGCCGGGAATTTGCCCTATCTTCAGCCCATCGTAGCACGGCCAGCTGAAAGCTGCAAGATCCTTTGATTCCGTCTGAAAAGTCATCCTTGATGTGCCATATCGCGTTTCCAGCGCCTCAGTGCATAGCCGTTCCACTGTTCCAAGTTTCTTAGTTTTTCCGCAGTTTTGAGTGTTCCAAATAAAGAGATTTTGTCACACAATTTTTTGGAATGGACTTATCGGAGCAGTGGCTCGCGCGGCCAATCTTTTGATGAAATCGGACGCAGGTTTTGGAAAGGACCGCGCCATACAGGGTGTCCCAATAAACAACACACTCGCTTTAACTCGACGCAGCAGTATTGCATCGGAACGGTAGCTACACCATTCGAAAGCCTTTGAAGCTGCGCGCAGCCGGCAACCTTCATAACAGCCTTTTTATTCTAAAGCGCCATTTTACAACGCATTTAAAACCTTATGGAACCGGCCTCTGCATCTAAATCACGGCCATTTTCGGGAATTTTCCTTGGAGAAATTGCGGCAGTTTAGCTCGGATGCAACCCCGAAAAATCCGGCCTCTGCCTCCCGGTATTTTTTCGCGTAAGTGATGAATCACGGATTCGGCCACGCAAAGACAGGAGCGGCAAATATGTAGATTATAGAGCCCCCAACCAACAAAAAATCTGCCGTCGACTTCCGGATGATCAGCTGATAAGCTCCCTTCAGCGGCGCCCCTAATCTCGCACGTCGTAAATCATACGCGACGAAAAGTTTTGTAGGGTAAGGTGTCGGTATAAAAGGCGAGGTGCGAAGTCTAGAACCAGTAGCTTCAACGGCTTGCTATCACAGTTAACCTATACGCGGTCTAAGCGGATAATATTACACAATGCATAATGTATATTATACAATACTCGGCAGATCAAGAAATTGGCATAATTTGTGCGGAATTTCTTTTCCGTTAAGATACACAAAAGCAAAAATAAACTACAAGGTATACTAATAAGTGATAGCCCCGGTAATAACCACCAAAACATACTTGTAATGTCCATTCCGCTCCAAATGACGCCGACTCGGGATTGTAAACGGCCCGGAAGCGGGGAGGGGGTTACCGGTCCAATTTCCATAATAGCTAGTTACTGGTGTTCCTTTTTCACAAATAAATGCCACCAAGATAAATGCATACAAAAATACGAAAGATCAGCGTGGCCCCAGCAATTAGTGCCATTTGCAGATTGTAAACACAGTGTTTTTATGTTTCGAAAACATCATTTACAGGGGTCCCGATCAAAAACACCCCCTCTAACGCTACGCAGAAGTATCGGAGCGGAACGATAGTTACACCAATCGAAAGCTCTTGAAACGGCGAGTTTGCAAATACCTTCAAATAAAGTCTATATTTCAACCCGCAATTTTACAACGCATTTAAAAACATCTAGGAATGGCCTATGCGTCTAATTAAAGGGCACGTTCACAGACGTTTTTTTGAAAAAAAAACAAAGATGGTCGCCGCGGCCGGGGGTCGAACCCTGGCCCCCCGGCTCGGGAGGCGCGGATGGATACCAGTCAGCCACAGCTACAACCTGGCTAGGGGTCGAGGGGCGCTCCACGGCACAAAGGAGGGGAAGGCCGGTCACAGCACGGGCAGGCAGTGCACGCGGTCCCTACGTCCATAGGGCGTACACGTTGGGAAGAGTATACGGCCCCTCTTTGAACGTGCGCTTTAACGGCCACTTCCGGTCATTTTGCATGGAGCATTTTAGATTGGCGCGCATGCAACCACGAAAAACCGCAAAATTTTACAAAATAGAAATTTAAATTCAAGAGATTTAAATAAAAGCATCGTTTTGAAGATTGTTGCAAACTCGCCGTTTTAAGGGCTTTCGAATGGTGTAACCATCGTTCCGACAAACAAATAACAACCATACATCCCACACAACAAAGAAATCTAGAAAAACGCGGGTGTCTCAAGAAAATATACTCCATTTACTGTCATTATATGGTACCCCAGCTATCCGCTTTATTCGTTTGTCAACAGAAATTTTGAGACAGGCTTCAAGAAGACAGGTGAAAAGTGCTCACGCCAGGTTTTCGGCCGTGTTTCCAGCATGTTTTTGCAACCGGCACTTGGTGATTCAAATGCTAGAATACACTACAATACGCTGGTTTTATCATGCTTTAAGTTGGTTTGCAATGTTGCTAGAATTACTCTGGATATTCGTGCTAACCTATCGCTCCCCGCCAGAGATGAAGTTGTATAAATGGGTTCTGGTGAAATTAGCGGTATGTTTTTATCAGTATGACGCTTTCTTTAATTTTTCTAAGTTTGTATTTTTAGTGGCTCGAATTTATCTTTGCCACATTATTGGGCCTTTTCTTGTTTCCTGATTTATTATTCCCAGCACCATGCGCGGCTGTTTTTGGACTTGCCGGGTACCTCGGCTATTACGCAAGTATACATACCGTAAGCAGTTTTCAGTCCCTTTTCTCTCCCGCACTCTCTTCCTCTCTCTCACTCTCACCCACTCTCTCTCGCTCTCTCTCACTCTCTCTTTCCCTCTCTCTTTCTCTCTCGCTATCTCTCTCGCTCTCTCACACTCTCTCACTTTCTCCTTCTCTGTTTCTCACTCTCGCCTTCCCTCGCTCTCTATCGCGCTCTCAATCTCGCTCTACAACGCTATCTATTTCCAGCTCTTCGCCGTTTTCTTCAGCGCCTGGGCTACGTTTATGAGCGTCAACGACTGTCTGCACGTGCGCAACTTTTTCATACATGAGAATGACAGGATGATTAAGATGGTTTTCACATGGTACCTTTTACTTGTAGTTTGGAGCTTCACTGAAAAATGAACGAAAAGGCTCAGATTTCAGGTACCTTGGACCGATAGCTGCTTCTCTCGGGCCTGTGCTAACGGGTGTTCCACTAGGATTCGTCTATTACAAGGGACTGATGGATCAGGAGGTAGCTTCCGGAACTCGATAACTATTTAATGGATCTCCAGGTATTATTCGCCCAAATACGGGCTGCTGGCGACTATAAATACGTGGAATGGTATATCCAGAATAATATTGTGGTCATCGGGTTTGATATGCACAGCATATGGGCGGCGCTGTTAGGACTGGTGAGTAGTAGGAAACCGTACTTTGCGTGCGTAGCACTGTACTGTACTACACCACTACAGTATTCAATTAATACCAATCCTGTTTAGTTCATAATCGGTGGTCTCATCGTCTGCTACGCGGTCAATATGATCTCCGCTCTGGTGATGCTGCAAAAATTGAGGGGTATGAGGAGCCACATGTCGGCGCAAACGTATAAAGCACATCAGAGTATCATCCGGATGCTGATAGTTCAGGTAAGTTTTTGCTTTTTGCGTTGCTTGTTGCATCGCGTACAGCATTTGTTATTGAGTTGCATCCGCGCAGCGCGTTGTATTTCGTATTCTCCAACCCTTCTGGCGCACCATGTCAAAATGAAGGGTACAATCCCCGGTTTAGAACATCTACCCAGCCATCGTCCTGGTCATCCCCTGCTCCGTGTGCGTCTACGGCTTCATAGCTGAGGACTGGAATCTCGTCGGCTCTAATTTATATAAACACTGGGCCCTCGTTGGGTTCTACTCTTTTCCGGTAAGTAATCAATCGATATGTAGTAATTTCGCTCCAAGATTATCTCCTTCGCATGCTCAATTTTCTATATGAAACCGTATCGGGAGTATCTGTTTTCGCTTTTCCGGAAGAAACAGCCGGAAACTCGGGTGGTCAGCGTCAGTGCTGGTGACGATGCACCAACGGCTGCTTCATCTTCTTCTTTGGCGAGGATAGCTAGGAGAACTGAAGTTTCTTAATAAACATTTATTTCTAAGTCATCCAGCAGAGAGCGAGAAAGAGAGAGAGACAGAGAGACAGAGAGAGAGAGAGAGAGAGAGAGAGATAGAGTGAGAGAGAGAAAGAGGGGAGATAGCGAGGGAGAGTAAGATAGAGAGAGGGCGAGAAAGAGAGAGTGGCGAGTTCGGAATTCCCTAAAATGACACATCATTTCCTTGGCGCCCCTCTTCTATCGGCTTCGAACGCAAATCCGCATATTTTCCCCTGGCACCCTGTTGATAAGAACGCAGGTGGTGTCCAAGGCACGAAATGTGGCTGATTTATTTATTTTTCATTATAAATAATACAAGCTTATTAATCAATTGTGATATTATCTTGTTCTTCATCCCTTCTGTTTTATAGATTTAGATTTCAGAATGACTCGTTTATTTTTATTTTTATTTTTAACCAATTTGTGCCTTTGCGATCCGCTTCCGGAAAAATGTCGAACGTGTAAGTTTGTCATTGATTTCAAAAACTGGTACTCCATTACAGTAGCCACAAATGTCGATAAATCGAGCTGTCCGCGGCCTTATTTTCCATATTTTTTTACAGGGTGACCAGTAGAAAGTGTATACAAAACTTTTGCCTCTACAAATTGACAGAAGCTGAACCCAAACTTTTCTGATGAATAAAACAAAAGATTACGAGTTAGTTCATCACATATTGATTGGGTTTTAAGTTGACTGCTCTGTGCTTCTGGATAGAGCTTCAGAAGGGAGGCTCATTATGCGGTCGTGGGCCGCAGCTCCCATCGGCTTGCCGTTACATTGTTAAAATTAAGTCTGAATTTTTTTGGGGCCATTGGCAGTGCATGGAATAATATCTTTCGGTCAAAAACAATCCGAAGTAAGTTTAGAAACGTTCAGAATACTGAAATCTCGAATCTAGATTTAATTTGTCCTTCATTTGTAAAATGGGCAAGATTTTTGGCATTTGGATCTCAAAAACTGGCGAAAACGGAGTAAGGAGCTTATCGATGTTCATAATGTGTATCCTTATGCAAACAAGCATCTTTGTGCAAAATTTGGTGCCTCAAAAAGCTTGACACGAGTTTTTACGAGCGAAACTAGTCTGAGCCTAGCTCAGCAGCCGATTTCTTGTTCCGACTTGGTCGCCGTAAAAAGCTTCGTGTCGGAAGGACCTGTGTCCAAAAATTACCATAATTGTCTATGTAATAGGCATAAATCTTCTTTACATCATGTCAAAATCTGAGCCCATTGAAGTACTCGGGGGCTTCAGGGCGGAACAAAGTATCCGACTTGGAGTTGCGGCCTTTTGGCGAGCTTTTTCTTCGCATCGAGTAACATTTTGGAAGTTGCATTTCCCACCCAACCGAAGCTGCCTTCAAAATTTTTTGATACTTTATTAGTACTAATGGTTTTGCTTACCTACAATGAGCAGAAAGATTTAAAAAAGCTTGGGAAATTTTTTATGGCACTTTCTATCAATATCGAGTTGTATACACTTTCAACTGGTCACCCTGTATAATGGCAGAAGGTATCGATGCGCAGTAAGTATTTATGATTTATTTTTCTATTCACCGATTTAGGAATCTCCTGAAATTCACACAAAATATGGCAAAGAGTTGTGCCGAGGAAGAAGACGTTACGGAATCACATAGGTATTGCGGAATTCAAAATTCCAGTTAGCTTTTTGCTTTAGCTATGTCTACTTTGCTCAAAAGCTGGACGATTTTTCAGGTAACTGAAAACGGAGCGAGACAGATGGAGAGAAAGGAATTGGTATCATAATGTCGAAATTCATAATGTCGAAATTCATAATGTCGAAACTCATAATGTCGAAATTCAGAATGTCGACATTTACATAGGCTAATATTACCGGTGAAACCGCCAAGTCCTAGCCAAAAAATTTTTTCCACATTCTATTTTTTTATCTTATTTCACGACAACATTTTTGCCTAGAATTCGGCGACTTTACCAGAAATTTAAGCTTATGTAAATTTCGACATTATGAATTACGACAGTATGAATTTCGACATTATGAAAATAAGCCGAGAGAAAGAGTGAGAGAAAGAAAGAGAGAGCAAGAGAAAGTGAGAGAGAGAGAGAGAGAGAGAGAGAGAGAGAGAAAGCTAGTGAGGGAGAGATCGTGTATTTTAGTGCCAGAACAAGAAAACCTCGAAGGCCTACTATTCGAAGGAAATGACACCAATATTTTCCGGACACTGGATGCAACCATGTCAGCTTCAAAGTAATTATAATTTTCTGAGGTTTAGAGTACAAAATACAAGCGACGCCATCGATTTGGTCAGTGTATATTTTGAACTCTATGATAAAGCGGATGTCCGATTACAAGCAGCCGCAATTTTCATTTTGGGAAGGACGGAGATTGAATGTAAGAAGCGAATATTTTTCTTTCTTCTTGTCTTTTCATGGAGTATAAATGATATTTTTTAGTATAATTCGATATTTCGTATTAAGGGCATCAAGATCCATTAAGAGATAATGGTTTCAGCTGGAACCTTCAACGCCAATTTCTGGGACCAAGTTATGCCGAATTTCCGCAGCCGAGACACGATTGTCCGCTTGATATTACTTCCGGTTTTCATTTTTTTTACGGATTTTTAATTAGCTTTGTTTCTAGGGTTCAGAAGCACTACCAGATACAGATCTTGCGATTTATGAAGAATTGGCTACCAACTCGACAGGATTCTTTGATTTTGAGGAATGGGTAAGAGTAGGAAATACGCGAGAGAGAGAACGAGAGAGAGAGAGAGAGAAAAAGAGAGAGAGAGAGCGGAAAAAGAGAGATAGAGAAGAGAGAGAGGTAGCGAGAGTGATGAAGGGATGAACAAAATTTTAAGCAAAACAACACTATCCCCTCTGTGAGAGCTACTGCGATAAACTATGGAATGTGTACGCCTTTGGTCCTTGCCGACAATTGTAAAACATGTAATATTTCAATATAGGGTCTAGGCATTTAATTTCGTGTTTAGTGAGCACCACGGTGGACAAATCCAACTGTCCGCAACGCTACTTTCCGTTCCTAATTCCGATTTTTGCAACGTTAAATCGGAATGAAATAAATAGGTGTACTTATGGTCCTAAAAATGTAATTTTATTTATTGTAGGCACTTGAATATCTCACAAGCTATTTTTGCATACCTGCTACATGACCGAGAGAACGGATAATTCACATAGGTATCGATTTCCATGAAAATGCTGATAACTTAGTTTTTCTAGCGTCTACACCTTTCCAGAGCACGAATACAGTATGTTCATGTCTAAATTAAAATTGAGGCAATTTAACGGCAAATTTTAATTCGCAGTTTTCAGGCCGTTTCAACCTCTTACCATGATTTTGGCGAGATTTATAGTACGGAGCCACACTATGCTTATATAGCGTTGGGGAAAGAGTATGTGATTTGACCAAAACCGGAAGAAAACGCTGAACTCAGTATAAATACCGTAGGCGAATTGCAAAGCCTCTTTCTGCAGTATTTCAACATTTTCGAAGAAGTGCACGAATTCCGGGAAATTCAGCCTGTCGTCATCATCATGTTCGACATGGTCGATCAGCAGTGTGAGTTTTAAAGAATTCTACATCAAACGTCTCAAAAGGATCCCTGCTGGCTTGCCTCATATTGGTTCTCTGAAAACGCAACCTCGTTACAGTAACCTACGAGCTGAACGGAATCCACGCGTTCTGGGGCACGTTGATGAGCCATTTAGTCTCGACTGACGTTCTTCTACGCATCGTTTATACCGTGGTTTGTTGACGGCACTTAGCTAGAATGGTTTTAGAGCCAAGCCTTACCCACGGCTACTGTGGACGCATTAGAGAAAGTGAAAGCTGATTATCCGGGATATTTTGATTACGTAAGCGTTTGAGCTGCTCTTACTTTCTCTCCGTCTTTCTCTCTTTCTCTCACTCTCATTTCCTCTCCCTCTCTCTCCCTCTCCCTCTCTCTCACTCCTCTATCTCTTTCTCTCTCTATCGCTTTCTCTCTCTCTCGCCCCGTTCTCAATCGTTTAAAATCTTGACCTATCCTTTCTAGGAAGTCAATCGTATGGACGATCCTTTCACGACTGCCGCCAAATACGGAATGTGTAGCATTGTGTAGTCGATTTAATAGTTGTGCATCAATTTTCATAAAATGATTTATTTCCGCACCACGAGCACAAGTATCAGATGCGCCGTCACGAGGGGGAGATCAAGGAAAGGGGTTTACACGTATTCGAGATGTTAAGGAATGCACGTTTTGGATTCTGCACCAGATTTTCGCATTTATCGACTGACTCGCGGCATCAGATTCATCCGCACGTGTTCCTTCGAATCGTCCCCTGAAGAAGTATCGTTATTTTGAGGTTTTTCGCGTGTTTTTCCGTGGCTCCATTAGGCAACTTGTAACGCCACGCAATATAACGCAGAATAACATAGCCTGACTCAATGATGCCTAAGCTGTCTGGCTGGACCTGATGAAGCAAATCTGCAAATATGCAGCAACGCAAAATTACGCCACGCAACGTTTTGCAACATTACGCAATGCAAGCTAGCTTTTACTTGATGTAGCGCGGCGCTACGTATAGCAACGCTGCGCCACGCTACGCTACGGTAATACTACGCACTACTAGACTACGGACGCAGTGTTACGCTGTGCTAACATGTCACTAAGGATGCTTGCGGCAGCTTTATGCAGCACTGCGTAGCGCAACGTAACCCTACAGTATGTACGTACCACGTTCAGTACGTTACGCAACGCTACGCAACCTGACCCAGCGCAACGCGACTAGATGCCACGCCAAGCTACGAAACGGTACGCAACGCCACGCTACGGTATGTTAGGCAGCACTGCGGTACGCTACGCATGGCTACGCAATGCAAGGTTCTATAATGAAGCTACGTCACGCTATGCAACCTCGTGAGAATTTCGGGTTTTGATGTCGTCATCCCTTTAACCCCCTGCTCCTCACCTTGATGCTATCCGCGAGAGATCTCGTGCGGCTTCTTGGGGTGGCTGGGGCCAGCTGTCCAGCTGCGCTGATACTTCCCCTTTCAGTGCAGGGTGATATCCCCTCAGAAGGACACGACGACACCTGAATATACCTATTAAAACGGTTAAAAGCGTTTGAAAGGGAGCGCTAAAAAAGCCAAGCCAAGCAAATGATGGCACCCAGGAAATGTGAGATTTTGAAAAGTGATTTTCAGGTATTAGTTTTTGGAAAAGTTAGTGCTCCCTTTCAGGAGATTTGTAAAGAAGTGGACCCAGAAGCTTAGAGGGAAATTTTTGGAAGTTAGTTGTTTGGAAAAGTCAGTACTCCCCATGTTAAGAATTGGGAGTTCGTGGAAGTGTACCCGAAAAAAGTCATGCAACCCAAAAATAATGCAAATTATGCAAAACTTCAAAAATTTGCATTCCGCACCGATACGGCGAATAGTTCGGTCTCGGTGTCAATGGACCGGAAGCGGGCTTTGAACCTGAAGAAAAGCGCTTTTGATAACGAATTCTGGGGCTCTGATTTAGTCGAAAACACATTGAGGAATTGGCTAGTGGGGACAATTTTACTTGCTAAATCCGACAGCTTGTCTACGAGAGCAGGCTAGCAAATATAATTTAGCAATTTATCCATCGGTCTCAGCGCAATTTGACCCTAAGTTTTCAAAATAAAACTGAATTTAACCTTTTTCTAAAAATTAAGGCGGTTTTACGTAGTAGCAGGACAGTTTGGCGAAATGCAAGAACTCCGCAAGTCCCTCTAAGTTAGTGACAGTAAGCTTTCAGTTTTCTTGTTCAGTCTTTTTTTTCAGCTTCCTCTCTCTCCCTCACTCTCTCTCGCTCTCTCCGTCTCTCTCTTTCTTTCTCTTTCTCTCTTTCCCTCTTTCTCTCTCTCTCTCACTCTCTCTCTGGCTCTCTCGCTTGTCTCCAAATTACAGATTACCCCAAAGCTGACAGCGCTAAAGCTATCATCTAGCCATAGCATTCCATAAGCCATTGCGAGGAAAGTTATAAGTGCGGACTTGAGGAGAAGCGAAGGTTCAACGTGCGAGTGTAGGCCGGTCGTGGCAAGGGACCGCTCCGGCTGAGTCGTTGACGATACCGCGTAGAAGGGACGGCGGAGGGAGGACATCCGAAGATCTCGGAATTGCCGTGTGAACAGGAAGTAGAGCTGAAATTATGGGGTTTCGGCTCGTGCTCAATTTCTGGTGGTCGCTCTCCGACTATCCGTATTCCTTTCTCTATCTCGGCCTCTCTGTCCCGATCTATCCCGCTCTCTCCCTCTGTCTCCCTCTCTCTCTCCCTATCTCTCTCCCTATCTCTCTCCCTCTCTCTCTCTCTCTCTCTCTCGCTTACCAGTGGATTGCAAGCCGAGTTGAAGTTGAAGAGGATGTTGATCAAGTCCTTTACGAAGATGCTCCAGTCGCCGGAAAGTTCGTATTGCCGCAGGTCCATCCACCGGAAGACCAGGCCACCTAAAAAAGACGATGGATTTCGCTATGAGCACAAACTACAAATGCCGAGGATTAACACAAAAATGCTAAATTTGGATGAAATCATCCTATATCCGAAAATGGACGCTCTGCAAATTTTGAGCCCGGCTTAGAAAATTTTTAGTCGGCCCGATTTGGAACTTCCGGTGCGGAAACCGGGGTGATTTGCAAGGATTTATGACTCGATTTCCATGGTACAGATGTGTTTACTCGTACTTACCGGTATGGCAGATGAAGAAAAACAGGACGATGGAGATGATGAGCGTCACCGCTCGCCGTTCTTGCGCCATGCGACTCTAAAACACAAGGATGTGTAACAGAGGAAAGCAAGGAAAAAGAAGGAGAGAGAGAGAGAGATGAGAGAGAGAAAGAGAGAGAGGGAGAGAGAGTGATAGCAAGTGAGAGACCCCGAGGGAGGAACAGAAAACGAGAGAGAGAGAGAGAGAGAGAGAGAGAGGAGAGAGATAAAAACACACCTTATGGTCAGAAGGCACTGGCCTCCTTGCGATCGTGGTCAAGATCCGGAAATTCAGAATCGTCAACAGAAGCAGCGGAATTATGTAGACCAGGATAGGATAGAGAAGCTTGTCCATCTAAAAATTTTGTTATTTAATGCTTACCAGAGTTGAAAAGCCGCTTCGCGACTTTTCAACCCTGGCCCCGTCCAACCCAATGAAAGTTTACACGTTGCATAATCCGGCACGTCCACGCTGAAAAAAAGTGAAAATACGCTCTCTGCTACTTTATATAGGCTCTCCCCATTTCCGGTATACGCTAATTGATTCCTAACAAAGAGGGCGTTGGATTTTTCAACAAAAACTAAAATTTAATGTCGAAAATAGATGATTTTCATAAATCTGATTTGTGTGCAGTCATCTCCTGGACATTATGCACCTAATGACGTATCAAACATGACCTTAACTACTCTCCTTCTTGAGATACGACTGGAACAACCTGACGGAAGTTGCATGCAAAGTGTCATACACACACACACACACACACACACACACACACACACACACACACACACACACACACACACACACACACACACACACACACACAAACACTATTTTTTATATATGGTAGGATGCTTATATGTCTCACCATCTGCCGATACGCCATATACTTGGCCAGTGTCGAAGGTCTGTGAGCAAGGAATAGGGACAATGCGCTCTCGCGGAGCTGCGGGTCGACGATGTCGTCTTTGCGTATGAAGAACCTAAACTTATACTTGATTTTACGCATCAAGGGCGAGATAAATTCTTCAGGTAGCTTTTTCTTTGCTAGCTTTTTCTAGTTAAAAAGCTTATTTTTTCATGGCTTTTTGAGCGTCACTTTTTTTGCGGATTTTTTGATAAGATGTGACTAGAGTGTTCATGCTAGTTTACCTTTACCAAACGTGCCCGATATTACTATTATTTGGCCGCCTACCAGCTATACTCGAACCATTTGCTTCCGTTAAACACCAGTGCCATGATGATGATGCAAATTAGGGGCAGGAATGGACGAGCCGGGTGCCCAGTGTTACCGAGAGGGTTGTGGATTGCCTAAAAATGTACTTATAGCTTTTTTACAGGCCCTTTTTCTGTTTTTTTTTAGCTACCGAGTTTGGGCGCTTTTGAGCCCGTGAGCGCTTATTTAAATTTTTCTAAGATTATTAGGCTCTTAAAGATTATCTAAAACCTCTTTGGCTTTTGCCTTGTCCCTTTAATTCCGAGCCGTTCCCGTGCCGGTTCTTTCCGACGGCTTAAAGTAAATTTTTCAATTTCCGGTGCGACGTAAAGTGGGGACGGGTCAATCCCGTGCGACGTGTCACCCCCGAAATTACTTGAATTTGGTGAGGTTGTGTGCCAAACGGGTGTCTTGTCCGAAACGTGCCCAAAAGGGCACAACTTGGTGAAAGTGTTGACAGACTGGGATCCGACTTTTGAAGAAAAGTGAGAGCGAGAGAGAGAACGAGAGAGAGGGAGAGAAAGAGAGAGAGAAAGAGGGAGAGAGAGAGAGAGAGAGAGAGAGAGAGAGAGAGAGTGACCGAGAGATAACGTACCCGATGCCTTTGTATCGTAATGTAGCACATTGTCCAGATGCTGGCCGAGTTTGAGGCGAGCAGTAGTGGGGATAGGAGCCCGGTGGACAAGTACGCGACTTGCCCAAGAACGCCCAGCATGGCTGACTAAAATATGAATTTAGATATTGACAGCCAATAAGAGTTACCTCTGAATAGTCATGGATGGCCGGGATGAACAGTACGAATAGTGATAGTGTCAATTGGAAGAGATCGCAAAGCGACAGGGTGATGAGGGAAGGTACCTGAAAAATTGATTGGAGCCGTGCCTAGCCGACAAGCTGTCGATATTTAGTTAAAAACAGCGATCGAACTTCCGACTTTCTAGCAGCTTTGGGGCTTAAAGACCGCCAGAACGATGAAGTTCCTTTGAGAGCAAGAAATTTGCGCACCGGGCGGGGGTCGAGCCCGAACCGCTCCACAGTCCGACGCGCTAGCCACTATACCACAGGGCCAAGTGGGGAAGGGAGTCAGAGGTGCCCCAAACGGACGGGGCACCCAAGGCCAGGATTTCTTATCAGGTCCTGGGATCCCTCTCGATGTCTTGCCTAGACATCTGTTCA